CAAGCTCTTTATAAAAGCACGGGTTCATTCCTCACTCCCAATATGTAGCCGAATAAAAAAGCTGGCTGTACACTTTGTTTGATGTGTAAGCTTTTTCTTGTTTTTTTTTTTTGTTTTTTTAACAAATGGCAACCAGCCCCTGTGGCTTGATGGATCTGCTGGAGTGGAAAACAGCCACTGAAAGAACACATTGAGGGATGAAAAAAGTCAAACAAGCAGAGCAAATGAGAAAGGGGGGGGGGGGGGTGTCTGGGGCAGACTTTGTTCTTTAGTAACTTGGGGAAAGTTAAAATAGAATTTGTGTTAAATAAAAAAACAGCAATAATACTAGAATAAATTAGAAAAGAGTTTAAAGACTTTTGATGTTTAATTTATTTGTATTTCTTATTAATTCCTTAAAATGAGTGTGTGTAATTCAAAATGAGAACATGTGGAATGTGGAAAATTATGAGCATGCATTACCTTTTGTCACCATCATATAGAGTACACATACACATTTCATATCTACATTTATATTTGTAGGCAGTATTTCACTGATGAGTACAAGCCAATTTTTACTTTCACAGTATTTAAATATTTATCTCAAAGAGTGGATTTGCTAGTTAAAATAATGTATTTTGTTGCTCAGGCCACTGAATTCAGCAAAGGATAAGGCATAAAAATATATCCTTCCATCCATCTAGTATCTTTTACCCGATTCTTCCATTTCGGGTTGCGGGGGGTCACTATAGTGCTCATATCCTGCATTCACAGTATGAGAGGTGGGAGGGGGGTGGGTTTGGGGGTCACAAGTCAATCAGAGGGACACAGAGACAAACGAGACAAAGAACCATTCACTCTCTCACTCACACCTAGGGACAATTTAGAGTTACCAGTCAGCCTAACATGCATGTTTTTGGTCTGTGGGAGGAAACCGGAGTACCTGGAAAAAACCCACACATGCACAGAGAGAACATGCAAACTCCACCCAGAAAGGTCCCGGGCCAGGATTTGAACCGGCAACTTTCTTGCTGATAGGCAACAGCTTTACCAACTGCTATACCGTCTTATATTAGCGTGCTATATATTAAAAATACATTTTAATACTTTTTATAAAAATAAAATAATACCTGATAAATTTAGTGAACTGAACTTGGTATAACAGTTTATCACTTCTCAAAATATATATATATTTCTTTAAATAAAATAAAAAACTACAGACCTAAATGGAAGGTGGCACATTGCTTATTTTTGAAGTTATTTAGCTCACAAGGTTTACATATACATAAGGCAGCAGCCATCTTGGATTTTGACATGGCAACCCAATTTCGATGGTGTCCTTTCTTATGCAAATATGTAGCCTCTTATCAAAATGAAAGTCAAAATGTTGATTATTTTTCAAGTTATCTCACACAATAAGTTCCCTTATTCACATATTTATATGGTGGCAGCCATTTTGGATTTTGACCTGGCAAATCAATATTCGAAAGGAACCGTCCTTAACAAAGATGTAGCCACACACCGAAATGGACATTGGTACCTCACTTTTTTCCAAGCTATCATGCTCACAACATGCGTGCACAGACAACAAACAGAGGGTATTTCCAATTCTGTCTCTTTACTCTATGATGACGGGGAAAAAAATGAAAGTGAAGTGATGTTATGTTTTTGTTTTTATTTTTATGTCATCTTCTTGGATTTTTGAATCCATAATTAATATTACTATGACAGATCAGACTGAGAACTTGACAACGTTACATTTGGTGGGTTGCGACTATGGTCACTCTACATTTTTCAGACCTAAGAGACTGTCATAATTTACATTGTTACAAAATTAGCTAAAAAAATGAATGGCATGAAAGTGAAACATTCTGTATTTTATTTTCGTAAACACATTTTAGTTGTTCTGTTTGACTGATTGGGCTACAGATTTACTACTGGAAAATAAATATTATACTTAAGCAGCAAGACTGGTATTAAAACACAGGGGCTGTCTCTGCACACCTACATGTCTCAAGTGTCCTTGAGCAAGACTTTGCGTTCCTGTGTGTCCATGAAGTGCTGTTCTGCAGCTGACCCTGACCTCCTACAGTAAGGAGTGGTAAATGAGGGTTACCACAAGAATTTATTACAGAATAAAGTAGTACAATTTTGCTTTTCTGCTCATCAAAGATCTGAGGTTAGGATAACTAGGACTATGGGCATATAAAGCTTTGAACAAATGTATTGAATTGATAGTTTATAGAAAACATATTGAATTCCTCCTACTCCCAACAGCATTATGCTGAGAATGAAGAGCAGAAATGTCAATATGTGGCAAATCAATAAACTCTCACTGAACCTGAAATGTAAGTGCCATGTTGACAACAAGTCCAGATTTCCCCAGTCTCTTACTCTCTTTGTGTCTTTTTCCCAGCACATTACCACTATGTTGTCTCCCTTAGTTTTCCATTTATCCTTTTCTTGTCATTTTCTATTCCATTCCTTCTTTTTCTTGTTCCATCTCCGTTCTCTCTCTTACTGTGTTTGTGTAGTGAAAAGCCATAATCAATGAACTGCTGCTTTGTTCTAGCTGAGGTGTCGAATGATGATCAATCGTTTACCCAGAGACAACTGCAAAATAAAAAAGGACACAAATGACTATTGAAAACAAGATGATGAGGGAGCTAGAGGAAGAGCAGGAGAAGGTTAGAAAAAAGTTAGTGAAAAAATAAATGGTAAGTAGACTGTACTTAAATAGCACCTTTCTATCTTATTAAGATATTCAAAGTGTTCATTTACCCATTCATACAGCACTCTACTATACATCTACAAAGCTAATTGAACAATTCTTTCTAAAGAAACTAAGCAACGCTTTTGGATCACATTCATACACCACTGGAGGTAAAGAGGGATTCAGTGTCTTGCCCAGGGACACTTCGGCATGTGATTGCTGGTGGATTCAAACCCCCAAATCTTGCATTGGAGGATGACTGCTCAAACCACTCAGCCGCATCTGCCAAATAACCAGTCACAGTGAATTGAGGCCATGGACTCCACTGACTTTTTAACAGGAAAATGGTAGATTTGTCTGTTATCATGGTTTACAAATAAGTAGTATAATAGTAATAAGCATTTTGGAAGCACAGTATAGTGATAGTATATAAGCACACGTGCCAAAAATGTTTTCAGCAGAATTATGAAGGAAAGAGAATATAAGAGCAAAAGGCAGCAAAAATAGCGACTATCTTAATGTGAGAGATGATATCTTTACAAGACAGACAGCTATAAATCCCATTGGCGCCATCTCTGCATGATGCATTCTCTAAATGGGGTTAAGAGCTAATGAATTATGAACAAAGATTAAGTATAACATGCATTGCAGATAATATAAGCAGATTCATCATTAAGTGATTTCTGCCTGTTAATTGCATAATGCTGCAAGACTGTAAAACTAACTATTAGAAATTGCTTGTAGTATGCGGTTTGGCTGTATTGTCATTAATTGTGAACTAGATGGTTAAACCTTTGGCTCCTGCAGGTCCTGATAAAAATGTGTACCAATACATTATGTTTGTGGATTAGTCTTGAGATGAAAAGCAGACAATGTTGACACAGTCCCCTGCAGACACTGTTTGTGTTTGTTAATTCCCTCTTCCCTATTTCACCAGAGTAAATATTTAGCTCAAATAACAATAATTTTCCATAAGATTGATCTAATCTACAAAACCATAAGCAATTGGATAAAGTCGAGAAAGGCTAGCGGAGCTAATAGTTTCACAGCCACCCTGGTTGAGTCAGCAGGCTGAACCCTTGTATAATTTGCCAAAGCTAAGGATTTTTCTTTTTTCTTTTTGAACATTTTCTAGTTAACACGTAAATAAATATTATAACATATTGTATCTCTATGCCTGTTGCCTTGGTTTGCCACTGTGATTTTATTTTGTGGAGCTTTTATTACTTCTTTACTGTCTTTATATAGTTATCGAGCCTTATCACCTTTGCATTGTACCATTCTAGGCCCCATTTGGCCGGCTGAAAAATATCTAGTGCTGTAACCCCCTCATAATATACTCAGACCTCAGTGCTGCATTTGATACAGTTGATCATAATATTCTACTACAGTGGCTTGAATATTATATTGGGATTCCAGAAACAGCTCTAAATTTGTTTAAATCATATTTATTGGATAGATTCCAATTTGCACATGCAAATAAATCTTCATCCCAACATCAGAGTTAGTCATGGAGTTCCTCAGAGTTCAGCACATGGACCAATACTCTTTACCCTATACTTTGTATATGCTTTCATTAGGTAAAGTTATTAAACAGCATGAGTATAATGTACATTTTCATTGTTATGCTGATGATACACAGTTATATGTGTGTATGAAACCAAATGAATCCAACCAGTTACTTAAACTACAAGCTGGTTCTGCTAAAGGTTTCTTCCTCATGAGGGAGTTTTTCCTTTCCACTGTTGCCTTCATGCTTGCTCAAGATGAGAGTCTGTGCTGAAGTTAAACTCAAAGCAGTCTGATCCTCAGCTAAATAATGTCAACTTACTTTTATGTATATGAATGTTTCTGTTCAGTGTCCTGAGATGGCATATGTTGTGCCTTGGCACTATATAAATAAACTGAATTGAAACTGAATTGAATCAATACATTTTTGTGCACACAGTGCCCATGCAGATTCTTCTCCATTTTCACCAAGAATGCTTGAGGTTCACTCATGTCACTCCTCTGTAGTGAGCTCTTATGATACACATAGAGCTTTTGCTTGGGACTTTGTGGTCATTCTGTTGCACAGAGCATATTATGCCGTTACCGTTTTGTTGGATGTATTTTTATTTGTTTTTCACACTTCCTTGTTTAGAAATTACACCTGATCAATGGTGATCTAATCTACTTGGCTTGTCCAATAGTTATTATTTGCCTCTGCTTGGACATATGCTGCTTGTAGCTCAGTTCCCACTGCAAAAACTGAGTGTCTTTACCCAGATCAGAATGAGTGATTGTGCATTGACAAGTCTTCTCTTACCTGTATACCAGCGAATCATCCTGACTTCCGTTGTATTGTATCTGGAACATCCTGATGCCTGGGATGTTCCTCTGGAAGTTAAACTTGATCAGTGCAGTTGAGGAGGTGGCCTCAGCTGTAACCACTCTTTTATCAACCCCGCCCTTTACGTCACCAGTCACATTGCTGCCATTAGCACCACCTCGGGTCGAGGTAGAAATGTCTGACGATCCTGGATCGGGTTCTTGGATGTTGTTGGTGTTGTTGGAGATGTGAGGAAGTTTTATAATAACCAGGTCTACAGTTTGGTGAGCTTCACCGGCAGGGTTGGATGAGATGCAGGTGAATGAGCCAGTGTCTTTCACAGTACTGATGAGGATGTCCAGAGTCCCGTTGTTGTAAACCAAGGTCCTGGTGGAATTAGACACCAGTTTGCCTTCAGGAGAAATCCAGTGAATGGCTGGCTCTGGATCACCCCTCGCCTTACACCTTTAAAAACAAAAATCAGAAGAAGTGAAACTTAATAGAAATAAGGCAAAATTAGGTGAAGTTGGTGAGAAATAGGCAGTAAACGCAACACACTATTTAATATTGGTTTTAAGAATTAATGACTGGGCGCATGGACTTAAAGTAACAGTTGGAGAAAACAATTAAAAAATGTTGAGTCAGAAAATCTAATTAATTGAATTACAGATAATTAAATAAAATTAAAATGAACATTTTCTGTTTAGGTTGAAAAATGATCTTGGAAATGTAAATCATGTACAAAAAACAGTTTACTGAAAATTGAGTTAGTGATTTGCAAATAGGCAAAGAGTAATCTGTATTTTTTATTTATTTTTATTTAATGTGAACAATTAAAAGATAATTACTTGTGCTTACAGAGGATGAAATAAACTTTTAGACAATCACTTTTGAGAAGTATGTTGAATGAATGCTAATGTATTTGAGACAGAAGATAATATAAGTCAACAATTTTGTGACTGAATTAGGTAAAATATACATATGTATGACTGTAATTTCAATCCAATTCAGTTTATTACTGTAGTGCCAAGTCACAACCTACATTAATTATTTTATTATTATTATTATTATTATTATTATTAGTAGTAGTAGTAGTAGTAGTAGTAGTAGTAGTAGTAGTAGTAGTA